ATATCCATTTTTATTTAGGGATATTATTTAGACTTAATTTAGTGTGATCGTAAAGGAATTTATTAAAAATCCTTTTAATTTAAAGGAATTTTAAAGTAATTTATAAAATTTTATTAAATTGTTGACACATCACTAAAAAAAACAATTTTGACATGTTCCTACAGCTGTTTGACAAGCTATAGTGTTGTAAAGTGTTTGGAAATTAAAACAGTGTAATGTTAAGTTAACATAAGAAAATGTAAACAATTTTTTAATTGCAGTAACAAAGATTTTTTATATGAATATTAACAAATTAATTTGTTATTTAGTAACAAAGTAAATCAAATTTTTATAAATAACTATTAATTTGTTATTGTAATAATTAAATTTTAATTTGTTTACCGTTTTACTACAGTGTGCTTTTTTCGTTAACAAACATTCACTTACGATTGCTAACACCAATGACAATACAACAAAGTGATGCTAACATTATTAATAGAAATGACATATTTACTTAAATGATCAATTAAATGCAAATATGAATTAAAATATATTAAAATCTAATTTTTGAAGAAAAAATATAATATTTTGGACTGAGTTAAGTTGTTTAGGTTATATAAAAAGCATTTAAATTTTGATTAATTAATTTTAATTAATTAAAGATTTTAGTTAATTAAAATCGCTATATTTGTTTAGAAAATTAACAAATTTGACACACTGTTTAGTAAATACCCGCCTTTTATTATTTATTGTAAACAATTCGCAAACAATTGTAAATTTCTGATAAAATTTTGAAAATTAACTACTAAAAATATGCAGGCCTTTCTTAAAACTGGTAAGACTACTACAACAGAAAGAAGTCAAGCCAGTACTTCCAGTGGGCAACAGTCTGGAGAACGCAGAAAACCACCAGCACCCTGGGTAGAAAAATAGTAAGTGGAAACATGTTTTTTTATAGACATCTAAATAATTAAACCATTGTATTTCTTTACAGTCGTCCCAAAAGTGTTGACGATGTAGTGGAACAAGGTGAAGTGGTGGCAGTGCTGCGTAAATGTGTTGAGGGTGCTGATTTACCCAATATGCTGCTGTATGGTCCCCCCGGAACTGGTAAGACTAGTACCATCTTAGCTGCCGCTAGACAAATCTTTGGCGATATGTTTCGTGAGAGAATTTTAGAGCTAAACGCTTCCGATGAGAGAGGCATCAATGTAGTGAGATCAAAAATTAAAAATTTTGCCCAACTTACGGCCAGTGGCACCAGACCAGATGGACGTCCTTGTCCTCCCTTTAAAATTATCATACTGGACGAGGCGGACAGCATGACACATGCTGCCCAAGCAGCTTTGAGAAGAACCATGGAAAAAGAAAGTCGCAGCACTAGATTTTGTTTGGTTTGCAATTATGTATCGCGCATTATTGAACCCATTACCTCTAGATGTACGAAATTCCGCTTTAAGCCTTTAGGGGAAACCCAAATCATAGAACGTCTTAAGCATATTTGCCAATTAGAGGGTGTTAGTATTGAGGAAGATGCCTATAAATCCATTGTGGATATATCGGGAGGTGATATGAGACGTGCTATAACCACACTGCAGTCTTGCTATCGTTTAAAGGGTGCCCAGCATAAAATACAAACTTCAGATTTATTGGAAATGTCGGGTATTATACCAGAGTCTTATTTGCAAGAGTACTTGGAAGTATGTCGTTCGGGTAACTATACAAAACTGGAGGATTATGTGCGTAATATTGCCTATGAGGCTTACAGTATTGGTCAGATGTTGGAGCAATTTAATGAGTATGTTTTAAGATGTCCCTCTTTGACGGACATGCAAAAGGCTCGTATTTGCGATAAACTGGGGGTGAGTGCTGTTGGGTTTATTTTGTATTACGATTGGTTTTTCATTAAAATTTCTTTTACAGGAATGTTCCTTCCGCCTGCAGGATGGTGGTTCAGAATATTTACAAATTATGGATTTGGGCTGTGCTATTATATTGGCTTTACAAGAAAAATAAAGTTTAAAAATTTTTTCGAATTGCATTACATTTAAGATTTAAATTCATGGAGTAATAGCCTATCTGTAACTTGATTTCGAAAATAAATTTTACAAATTACAAAGTGTAACGTTGTAATCCTGCGGTTTCTATTTCAATATCAGTTTAGTTTTTAAATATGCTTTGTAATTTGGTTCCATTTTTATATATATTGCTTCTACTTTATTGTTAAGTTATTTTTTGAAATAAAATTTGAAAAATTACAATTTAATATGTTTTTTGATTAAAGATATTTGTAAAAAGAAACTTTCGTGTGAAGAGATTTTTCTAAATCGAATTATTAAAAACAGTGGAGTTTTGTTGCAGTAGAGATATATCCAAAAGAATAATTCCAAATTTAGCCAAATTTTTTGGTTTCCAAAGATTTAAAATATATTTTTATTTTGTTTATTTAAAAAAAAAAATGTTGATAAAAAACTCGAATCTCATACTTTAAGGAACCACTTCAAATTCATCCTCATCTCGTTCTCTTTTAACACCTCCGCCGCCACCACTACTGCCAGTGGAGCCGGACAAACCAGAAGCAACTGTAGATATAATGCCCACCGCCGCAGCATCAGAATCAACTTCCATTTTAACATCACCACCACTGGAATCTTGACTAGTGCCCATCGAAATAATGCCCTGTTTACTATCCACCGCCACGGTCTTAGCAGTGGTAGTAAATTTGATAACCGGCTTGGGTATAGTAACAACTTGAGTTTTGGGTGTCAAAACAGTCTGGCGTTTGGCCCCCGATCCAGCACCACCAGAAGATTTTACTTGTGTTTTTATATTAGATCTAGAATCCAAGGCAGATTTGGTCATTTTCTTAGGTTGGGTGGCAGCACGTAGTTTATAGTTGCAGGCCGATAAGCAATAACGATCGGGTGGTAGACGCAAGCCGCAATGTGGCTTAATGGGGGGTAGGGGCATGGCATTGCGCACCTCCGCCAGTTTGGATATAATCTAAAAACACAAATACCATCATAAATACAAGTAAAATAATATCATAAGTAAACTTACATGTCGTGGAGGTGGGCAGGTAAAGGCTTTATCCAATACAACTTCAGTTGCCAATTTAACATCATCCAAATCTATGGTTTTCTTACGTGCATGATTGGCAAACACTTTGGCATCATCCAGTATACAAGTCACATAACCTTTGTTTTAAGAAATTTATTTATTTATTATAAAAGGTAAACAAATTAATTTTCTCCCACTTACGATAGGTAAACTCCAACAATTGATTAATGACTCGGGGTTCATATTCCTGTATGCCCAAATCCTTTAATATGGACATTATAACCTGAGCATCTTTGGGTACATGTTTAACCTGCGTATTTATTTTAGTTTTTTCTAATTTTTCCTTTTCTGTCGACATTTTTGCTTTAAATATTAGCAAAAAGCTAAAATTTGTTTTCTTTTTTCACAAGGCATAAACAAAAACTGTCAGGAAAAATTATGTATGCTTGTTCTTGTTATTATTTGTTGTCAAATTTTGATCCAAAGCTTTTTAAACTGTAATGTTTATGATATATATGAAAGCTTATTGCTACAGCCGACTGAGCAGAGCTGCATCTGGTAGCATTTCAAACTAGGGTTCTATAGTTGAAACGAAAAGTCGACTTTTCGACTTTTCGACTTTTTGCATTTAGTTAAAAGTCGACTTTTCGACCTTTCGACTTTTTCCATTTTATGAAAAGTCGATTTTTCGACTTTTCGACCTTTTTCATTTATTTAAAAGTCGACTTTTAGACTTTTCGACTTTTAGTATTTTATAAATGGTCGACTTTTCGACTTTTTCCGACTTTTCGACTTTTTCCGACTTTTTTCGACTTTTTTCGACTTTTCGACTTTTCGACTTTTTCCGACTTTTTTCGACTTTTCGACTTTTTTCAACTTTTCGACTTTTTCCGACTTTTCGATTTTTTACGACTTTTTGAATATTTTCGACTTATTTCGACTTTTTTTCGACTTTTTTCGACTATTTTTTACTTTTTTCGAGTTTTTCCGACTATTTTAGAGTTTTTGACCTCTTTTCCACTTTTTTAAAATTTTCGACTATTTTCGACTTTTCGACTTTTTCCGACTTTTTCCGACTTTTCGACTTTTTTCGACTTTCTTCGACTTTTTTCGACTTTTCGACTTTTTTCGACTTTTCGACTTTTTTCGACTTTTTTCGACTTTCCGACTTTTCGACTTTTTTCGACTTTTATTTACAAAGTCGACTTTTCGACTTTTTTCATAGACGATAGTCGAGTTATCGACTTTTTTGGACAAAATAGTCGACTTCGACTTTTCGACTTTTTTCGACAAAAGGTCGATTGTTCGATTATTCGAAAGTCGATTTATAGAACCCTATTTCAAACACTTCAAACTTAAAAGTGTTTGCTACAAACACGATATACGAAAAATACATTGCTGTTTGATAAATCCGAATATGATAGGTCGTCAAACATATGTATTTTACAGATAGATTACAATTGGAACCGCTGTCGACAAACCACAAAACAGAGCCAGCGACAAATTAAAATTAAGCGACTGTCGACAGACCACATTTTTTGACGTTTATTGGAAAAAATCCAGGCAAAATGATGTTTTTGTTAAAAATTAGAATTATTTTTTAAGAAAAAAAAAATAGGAATGGTTGAAAAAATATTCAGAATAAATAAAAGAAACAAAACAATATGTTTTCGCATTTTAATTTTTATTATTTTCATTTAATATATTCTGAAATTTAAAGAAAAATATCGATAAAGTACTATTTTTTGTTTCACAAAATTATTAAGAAGTTATTAAGCAAAATCATTCATTTTTAGAAACAAAACATTCAAATTATATATATGTATTTAAAAATAGTTCAACTTAAATGGACTTTAGAATTATTTTGGAGGTATTTTTAAAAAGTACCAAAAAAGTTCAAAGCTGTCTTTTTAATATGTAAAAATTGTTAAAATTATAAATTAGTTTATTAAAAATAAAAAAAAAACTTACTTTTCAATGTTCATTTTCTTTAATTTATTTTTTCCAAAAAATTGTATTTCAAAACAAAACAGTTGTTTTGTTTTGTTTATGTTTGTCGCACGCTCTAATCGAAAAATTACATACACACATATGTATGTAAAATACATGTCGTCTAATAGCACCTTTATTGAAAAAAAACTTGTAAAGCTGTCAAAATTTAAGCGGGATTTAGTAGTTTTTTTTGCAAGTTTTCACAAGGAAGGAAGTAAAAAGTTAAAGTTAATAGAAAATTCAAGAAAAATAGAATTTAAATAAAATGTCGATGATATTGACAAATGTTTATCAAATGTTAAGTTTTAGTGTGTCAATGTTATATCAATTACATGTGTTTTATCAGCAAATGCAGTTTTTTATGAAATATAGTGGGTGGCTGCCACCAATGAAAAATGTATTAATATTTAATAAAATTAAAGTGTCAATGTAGTGTTCCTTATAGAAAATTAAACACAAATGAAGTGCTGTTATAATAAAGGTATGTTCCATTAATGGTTTTTATTTATTTGTTAACATTTTTTATGGAATTTACTGAAATTAGAATTAAAGCTCAATTATTGTTTGATTCTGGGATATGGTAGTTGAACTGTTTTTCACACTTCTTCCAAATAGACATACTAAGAAGAGGATTTGCATTAACTAGGTGGTAAACTAGTAGTTTTGTTGTTGTTACAGCTAAACTAAACTACTTCATGCTCCGGTGGTTCTACTTAAAAGCACAAGACCAAATTGTGCTTTTACTTCTAGTTTAGTCTACAAATTCTTTGGTAAAAAATAGAGTTATGCCGAACAGTTGTACAAGTAGTATTATGGACTGTACTAAAGTCTTGAATTATATATTCTGGATTATAGTCTGGTTTATATTGTTTAATATAGACTGCACTAAAGTCTTTAATGGTCCGGTTTATAGTCTGACTATCGTCTACTCTATAGCCTTGCCTATAGTCTAATTTATAGAAGTTAAAACTAAAGACCATACTAGACTATAGACTAGACTATAGACTAGACTATAGACTAGACTATAAACTAGACTATAGACTATAGACTAGACTATAGACTAGACTATAGACTAGACTATAGACTAGACTATAGACTAGACTATAGACTAGACTATAGACTAGACCAGCGGTTCCCACCGTTTTTTACTTCGCGGACCCCTTGAGAAATTTATTTAATTTCACGGACCCCCATACATATTTTGATATCTTATTGTTATAAATAATTGTTCATCAAAAAATTCTCTTAGTCCTGGTCCATAAACCCTATAAAATATTCCCGTACATTGAGAATATTTAGTATTTCGGAGATGTTTTCAATTGCATGGATTTAATTTTATGATCATGAGAGCTTTCATGTTCATTTCTCTTTATAAAGTATTGTCGACATGTGCTTAAAGAGTCATGTTTCTAAATTTGTTTGCGATTGCATAGGAGTGAGCTGAGTATGTAAGCTAAGTTTTCAGGAAAATACGTGAAAGTTAGACTTCTTCGATGTTGTTGCGGAATGCGTTACCCACATAAAATATGACCTGAACTCTTTGCGAATGTACTGTGAATTTGGATCTTAAATTTGAATTTTAAAATACCTACGAATTATTTTACTGCGTGGTTTTGACTACGCAAACCGCTATGAATTTTCTGATGTTGATTTAATAATATTGGACAACAAAATGAAGTTAAAATCTGTGTATCACGTCGGAATGGAATATTTATATTTACAATTAACTAGATTAACAGTTTTGCTTACAATTTAAAAAAATATTATGAAATGTGACCTAACTTCATATTCCGGGATACCAGTATCAGTATTTAATTCTAAGGCAAATCATTATCCGTCTGATATAAAAACATTTATTTCGATACATATACATTTATAAAAATTACAAATCACGTAATATTTTACTTTATAAAAGTGAAACAATAAATTTGTAGGGCCTAGCATCATCCTGATAAACGACCGAAACAATAAAATTCAAAAAGTCACCAACAAATCTGGGATTATTGAATAAAAATTGTGTATTTTAGTATTTATGAAAATTTTGGAGATATTTTTAATATTTTCTAAATAGAGAATATTTTTTATTTATGATTTTTTTCGTTCGTCTTCGCGGACCCCCTAGGATTTTGCTACGGACCACTAGGGGTCCGCGGACCCCCTTTTGGGAACCGTTGGACTAGACAATAGACTAGACTATAGACTAGACTATAGACTAGACTATAGAATACTAGACTAGACTATAGACTAGGACTATAGACTAGACTAGACTATAGACTAGACTAGACTATAGACTAGACTATAGACTAGACTAGACTATAGACTAGACTATAGACTAGACTATAGACTAGACTATAGACTAGACTATAGACTAGACTATAGACTAGACTATAGAATAGACTATAGACTCGACTATAGACTAGACTATAGACTAGACTATAGACTAGACTATAGACTAGACTATAGACTAGACTATAGACTAGACTATAGACTAGACTATAGACTAGACTATAGACTAGACTATAGACTAGACTAATAGACTAGACTATAGACTAGACTATAGACTAGACTATAGACTAGACTAGACTATAGACTAGACTAGACTATAGACTAGACTAGACTATAGACTAGACTAGACTATAGACTAGACTAGACTAGACTAGACTTAGACTAGACTATAGACTAGACTATAGACTAGACTATAGACTAGAATATAGACTAGACTAGACTAGCTAGACTAGACTATAGACTAGACTAGACTATAGACTAGACTATAGACTAGACTAGACTATAGATAGACTAGACTATAGACTAGACTAGACTAGACTAGACTAGATAGACTAGACTAGACTAGACTATAGATAGACTAGACTATAGACTAGACTATAGACTAGACTATAGACTAGACTATAGACTAGACTATAGACTAGACTATAGACTAGACTATAGACTAGACTATAGACTAGACTATAGACTAGACTATAGACTAGACTATAGACTAGACTATAGACTAGACTATAGACTAGACTATAGACTAGACTATAGACTAGACTATAGACTAGACTATAGACTAGACTATAGACTAGACTATAGACTAGACTATAGACTAGACTATAGACTAGACTATAGACTAGACTATAGACTAGACTAGACTAGACTATAGACTAGACTATAGACTAGACTATAGACTAGACTATAGACTAGACTATAGACTAGACTATAGACTAGACTATAGACTAGACTATAGACTAGACTATAGACTAGACTATAGACTAGACTATAGACTAGACTATAGACTAGACTATAGACTAGACTATAGACTAGACTATAGACTATAGACTATAGACTAGACTATAGACTAGACTATAGACTAGACTATAGACTAGACTATAGACTAGACTATAGACTAGACTATAGACTAGACTATAGACTAGACTATAGACTAGACTATAGACTAGACTATAGACTAGACTATAGACTAGACTATAGACTAGACTATAGACTAGACTATAGACTAGACTATAGACTAGACTATAGACTAGACTATAGACTAGACTATAGACTAGACTATAGACTAGACTATAGACTAGACTATAGACTAGACTATAGACTAGACTATAGACTAGACTATAGACTAGACTATAGACTAGACTATAGACTAGACTATAGACTAGACTATAGACTAGACTATAGACTAGACTATAGACTAGACTATAGACTAGACTATAGACTAGACTATAGAGACTATAGACTAGACTATAGACTAGACTATAGACTAGACTATAGACTAGACTATAGACTAGACTATAGACTAGACTATAGACTAGACTATAGACTAGACTATAGACTAGACTATAGACTAGACTATAGACTAGACTATAGACTAGACTATAGACTAGACTATAGACTAGACTATAGACTAGACTATAGACTAGACTATAGACTAGACTATAGACTAGACTATAGACTAGACTATAGACTAGACTATAGACTAGACTATAGACTAGACTATAGACTAGACTATAGACTAGACTATAGACTAGGACTATAGAACTATAGACTAGACTATAGACTAGACTATAGACTAGACTATAGACTAGACTATAGACTAGACTATAGACTAGACTATAGACTAGACTATAGACTAGACTATAGACTAGACTATAGACTAGACTATAGACTAGACTATAGACTAGACTATAGACAGACTATAGACTAGACTATAGACTAGACTATAGGCTAGACTATAGACTAGTCAATTGACTAGACTATAGACTAGACTATTGACTAGACTGTAGACATGACTATATGTTAGACTATATATTCTAGAACTAGACTTTAGACTAGTCTATAGACTAGACTTTAGACTAGACCATAGACTAGACTGACTATAAACTATACAATAGCCAAATCTGTAGTTCAGGATATAGACCAGACTTTAGCCTAGAATATAATACATAATAATAAACTAATCTTGATTAGACTAAACCATTTAAAAAGCTTTATAGATAAATTTCATCTAATTGCGTTTCGAACTTAACGTAGATGATGCAAAATGTTACCTTTTTGATACATTTTTAATTGTGTCTATATTTATTTGGATGATTTCATTTAAATATAAGTAATTCAAAACACGATTCTATTTTGTTTATATATGACTAGTTTATTAAATATTATAATTACATACATACTTACATAGAACATATTGTACATGTGTATGTATGTTTGTTTTGTTTGATAGCATATTAAAAAAATTTACATACATAAATAAAAATTAATTACTTATTAAGATACATAATTATGTTTTGTTGCTTTTTTTGGGAAGTTTTTACTTTTTATACAAATTACTAGATAAATTAAAAAAAAAACTCAACATAAAAAAACAAACTTTGGTCAAATCGTGATAAAAAAATAAAGAAAAAAAAGAAAATAATAAAATTAGAAGATACTTTTAGAACTTTAGAAAAAAAAACTTAAAATTTTATTATGAAACGATATTGAAATAAACATTTGTTTAATATTAACAAACTAATTATTTAATATTTATAGCAAATTATTATAGGAATAATTAATAACACTTAAATTAATTTTAAATAAAAGGAAATTGCAAGAAACTTTTGAAACAATTTAACAGAAACTTAAAGTTTCTTTTTTTAAAGAAAATATTACAATAATAGTTTAGATATAATTACATAAAAAAATATTATAAATTTTTAAATTTTATTTACTTTAATAATAATTATTTTAGATTAAAACTAAAGTATTGAAATAAATACTTTTTTTAACAACACTAACACACAGGCTCAATATAAATTTAGTACCAGATTTCATGTGCGACTCCTTTACACTAAAGAATTCTACATTGTGGCTTACTTTTAGGTTTCTTTTCTACAGCTCTTACCGCCTCTTCGAATACGGTTTGTAGATTTACTTTTTTCTTGGCCGAACACTCGACCAGAGAATGGGCATGTATTTCTTTCTTCAAACGACGTCCTTCGGCTGTTGTTACGAATTTTTCTGAATTTGCTATACGTAAATCCAATTTAGTACCGACTAGAACGACGGGTACATTGTTGGAATAATGACGAATTTCGGGCCACCATTTACTTTTGATGTTTTCGAAGGAAGCTCGACTACTGATGGAATAGCATAACAGAAAACAACTGGTCTGAAATAAGTGAGAGGTGGGAGAGAAAGGAAAATTTTTAGTATTTTCTTGATCGATGGAAATTGGTCTATGGGCTAAACTATAGTTTGGATTATAAACTGCTCTAAAATCTGAATACACTGGTTATATAGGTTTGTAGGACTGTAGTATATTCAATAGTTTGGTCTATAATTTGGAATATAGTCTGGACTATAGTCTGGACTGTAGTCTGGTGTATAGTCTGTTTTATAGTTCAGACTATGGTTTAGTCTATAGTCTGGTTTATAATCTGGACTATGGTCTGTTCTATAGCCTGGACTATAGTTTGGACTATAGTCTGCACTATAGTCTGATCTAGAGTCTGTACTATAGTCCGGACTATATTGAGGACTACAGTCTGGTTTATAGTCTGGTCTATATTCTGGACTATAGATTGGTCTATAGTTTGGACTATAGTCGGGTCTACAGTCTGGACTATAGTCTGGTCTATATTCTGGATTATAGTCTGGACTATAGTCTGGACTATAGTATTGTCTATAGTCTGATCTATAGTCTTGTCTATAGTCTGGACTATATTCTTGTCTATAGTCTGGACTATAGTCTTGTCTATAGTCTGGACTATAGTCTTGTCTATAGTCTGGACTATAGTCTTGTCTATAGTCTGGACTATACTATAGTCTGGACTATAGTCTTGTCTATAGTCTGGACTATAGTCTTGTCTATAGTCTGGACTATAGTCTTGTCTATTGTCTTGTCTATAGTGTGGACTATAATTAGGCCTATAATCTGGTCTGTAGTCTGGTGTATATTCTGTTCTATAGTTTGGCGTATAGCTTAGTCTAAAGTATGGTCTATAGTATGGTCTATAGAATGGTCTATAGTATGGTCTATAGTCTGGACTATAGTCTTGTCTGTAGCCTAGACTTTAGTCTGGTCTATAGTCTGGTCTATAGTCTGGACTATAGTTTGATCTATAGTCTGCACTATAGTCTGGTCTGTAGCCTGGACTATACTCTGGACTACAGTCTGGTCTTTAGTCTGGACTATAGTCTGATCTATAGCCGGGATTATAGTCTGATGTATAGCCGGGACTATAGTGTGGTCTATACCTGGCCTATAGTCTGAACTATAGTATGGTCGTTAGTTTGGTCTGTAGTATGTTCCTCAGTCTGCTCTATAGTCAGAACTATAGTTTACTCTATAATGTAGACTCATAATTTACTTACATTTGGATAACTTAAAGGTCTTAAACGTTCATAATCCTCCTGACCCGCTGTATCCCACAACGTTAAACTGTATTCCTTATCGTCAACACTTATGGTGCAGGCATGATTATCGAAAACCGTGGGTATATATTCTTCAGGAAATTCATTTTGTGTATAGGTGATCAGCATACAAGTCTTTCCCACCATACCATCACCAACTATGGTGATTTTAAAGGACGCACACTATTCGACATGATTTGTGACTAAAAATAAATACAAGTAAAATAATATTTAATAACATGTGTTTTTTAAAAAAATATATATATATAAATTTTTGCCCTAAACGGAAGTAGTGTCATTTCATTAAAGTTTTGTGGGTTTCGATGTAAATATAAGTATTTCCAAATATGTATGTATTTCAATGTTGCAATTTGGAGATTATTGACCTTTTTTTCTGTGGTTTTCCTTTCAACATATTGCTGCATATTTGTATGATGAAAACAAAAATAAATAAAATAAAAAAATTATCAAATTGCTAATTGTTAGTTTGTAGGTTTGAGTACACTGTTAGTTGCTGTTAAATATTCCAAGAAATTTGCAAAAGTTTTGATGTAAATAACATTAACCTTTTTGAAAAATTACTTTACAAAACTTGTGTAAATAAAAAGGGTGAGAATTATATTGTTTAAACAGTTAAAAAAAGTAAAATCAAAAATGATCGCTGATATACAAAACTTAGAGGAAGTGAATTAAACTAGTCACGTGACTGAAAACACTAGAGACTTTGGTCCACCGCTCAACAGGCAAATTAGATTCACGATTGAATCCATTCTTATTGATAACTCATTCACTTAAATCCTTATTTGTTCGAGATACATAATGAACTTAAATGATTTCTATATTATTCCTTCACATATGTACATTCCAAAGCATATTGTATTACAAATGGTATGACTACTACAATAATATGTGTGTAAACGTCTCATTTCCTATTGCGGGGGCCTATAAAAAGGTAAATGATTCATTAGAGTTACGTTTTTTGCTTCTTGTGTTTCTCATTTTAAAACGAGTACATGTATTTTAATATGTATGTTTTTCTGTAATGGAATTTATTTAATAATCGACTTTGAATATGAATTCAAACCGATTTGTTTTTCTTTGCTTTATTTTTGCTGGTATATAAAAATAAAATTTATATATATATATAGAAAAGTAAATTGATAAGATAACTTTGGAGTAGCATGTACATGAAACAGTATTTGCAATATATTTTTAATACTTTTTTTTGTTGCTGCTACTTTATAAATACAATATAATTTATTAAAATGTTTAGTGACAAAATTGAAAAAAAAAACTGGATCAGTTAGAGGAAATTAGTAAAAGAGTTAATAAGCTTTTTAGTTGTAGTAAATAAAATAAGATTTAATTAATTGACATCGACATATCTTTGGCATTAAAACCTAACTACAGATTGTAGTTTATTTAAATGTATTAAATGGCAATTTTATTAAACAAATTAAAGTTTCAGATGCAAAGGCTGTAATCTCCACTTTTTAGGTTTTCCAATGTTTTCAACTATAAAGTGAAAAGTTTTGTAAATTTAATTTATTTTAAAGTGTGAAATATTAATTTTATCAAGCAAACAGTTAACAGGTTTAGCAGAAAAGACTGTAATCCTCACTAGAGATAGTTGTTTTTGCTTCTAAAGCCCTCAAATAATCGATTATAATCAATAATTTTCTATTAAACATACACGACTTTATGAAATATATTAACAAAACCTCATTGTATTCACACATGCAATTAATGGCAATAAAACGTTAAAGGACAAAAGTAGTGAGATATGGAGAGGAAAACAATAAAGATAATCATCAGTAAAATTAAGGGGGAAAATTTTTAATTAATATTAATAATATTATTATGTTGTTTATGCTAAATGTTAATAAAATAAAGAGAGATTGGTAAAATAAATCTTATCAGACCGAAACAAGTTGGCAGAGTAATAAAAATTGATTTCTGGGAATCAAGGAATTGAATTGTAAAAATAATTAACTGTTAATGTCTGAATGTGAACTTGATAAGCAATGATTCTAGAAACATAACTTTAAATCCGAAGTAGGGGAATAGATAGATAGATAGATATAGATAGATAGATAGATAGATAGATAGATAGATAGAGATAGATAGATAGATAGATAGATGAGATAGATAGATAGATAGATAGATAGATAGATATAGATAGATAGATAGATAGATAGCTATATAGATAGATAGATAGATAGATAGATATAGCTCGCTCGCTAGCTCGCTCTAGATCGCTAGCTCGCTTATAGCTCGCTAGCTCGATCGCTCTATTCGCTCTCGCTAGCGCTAGCTCGCTCGCTCGCTCGCTCTGCTCGCTCGCTCGCTCGCTCGCTCGCTCGCTCGCTCGCTCTCTCTCGCTCCTCGCTCTCTCTAGCTCTCTCGCTCTCTTCGCTCGCTCGCTCGCTCGTCGCTCGCTCGCTCGCTCGCTCGCTCGCTCGCTCGCTCGCTCGCTCGCTCGCTCGCTCGCTCGCTCGCTCGCTCGCTCGCTCTCTCGCTCGCTCGCTCGCTCGCTCGCTCGCTCCTCTCGCTCGCTCGCTCGCTCCTCGCTCGCGCTCGCTCTCGCTCGCTCGCTCGCTCGCTCGCTCGCTCGCTCGCTCTCGCTCGCTCGCTCGCTCGCTCTCGCTCGCTCGCTCGCTCGCTCGCTCGCTCGCTCGCTCGCTCGCTCGCTCGCTCGCTCGCTCGCTCGCTCGCTCGCTCGCTCTCTCGCTCGCTCGCTCGCTCGCTCGCTCTCTCGCTCGCTCTCCTCGCTCGCTCGCTCGCTCTCTCGCTCGCTCGCTCGCTCGCTCGCTCGCTCGCTCGCTCGCTCGCTCGCTCGCTCGCTCGCTCGCTCGCTCCTCGCTCGCTCGCTCGCTCGCTCGCTCGCTCCCGCTCGCTCCTCTCCTCGCTCGCTCGCTCTCTCTCTCGCTCGAGCTCCTCGCTTCTCGCTCGCTCGCTCGCTCGCTCGCTCTCGCGCGCTCCTCGCTCGCTCGCTCGCTGGTCGCCTCCGCTGGCTCTCGCCTTGAAGTTAATGATCATGGCCATTACTCAAAATAACGCGCAATGACAAATGTGTCAGTGTCTAGTCGACATATCATAAACTATAATACTATTTATATAGCATTAGACGACACTTTAAGTGTTTAAATGACAGCAAGTGTCAGCAATATTTTATTCCTTTCAAACCAATTTCACACTGTTTACAACAGTTGTTGCTATAACTAAAACGTTTTTCTTTTCACGAAATATTTCAAACTTCCACTCTTTCACAAACAGACTTTAACAACAACAATTAAAAACGATTTATATTACACTATTATTTGAAACATTTATTATTTTTGTTTAATATTTTAATTAAATATTTAAATTGAACGCACTCATACAAATTGTTAGTTAACATTATTATTATTATTAATTAATTTAAACGTGTGTAAACGGATGAATCATTCAAGAAATATTAAATAAATAATGAAAATAAAACTTGAAAGCTGATGACTCTTAATAAGGTCTTTTCTAAAAGTCATACATTACGGTGTTTTCTATTTATTTTTTTTATATAGAAATACCTATACACATTAAAATACAATAGAAATAGTAGAAAAAAAGTTAGTTTTTTATCAATTTAGCGCTTTTTGTTTGTTGCCTTTCTTTTAGTACCCTACACAATGTGTTTTGGTTAAGTAAAGATGTTTGTAATGCTTGAATTGGATGTATTAAATGACATATACAAATATAGTGAAATCTTTATCATAATTGGTTTGCAAATATCCGTAAGTCTATATGTCTTTCTGACTTGTCTGATAAAATTTGAAGACCTAGAAACTTTTGAATATATTCATTTCATAACTGCAAATCGCATAACTGATCTTTACTTCCAATTAAAGCCTTCTTATGAAAACTAACTTTGCTTTCAGTTATATTTTAATCATGTAGGGTATCCTATTGATCGCCAATAACTAACTTTTTTACTACTTTATAATGATGGTGAGCAATTCTTTAACTTGTTGGGTTATGTTTTATTAGCATCTTCTTGTTTGATTTAATTTTTTTCTTTCCAAAAGCGCGTAAAAGTATTGTGTGAATGAATGACTCATAACTGAACGCTTTTGTTTTGTTTGCTGGTTGTTTGAAATTAAAGTTAGTAATAAATAAAATGAGGAGAAATACCCCAATTTTCTTGGAATTTTTATGAATTTTTGTAGAAATAATAAATAACAAAAAAACTAACATACGAACACACACAGACTTGATGGATTCTGCTGCTTCAGCTGTTGATGTTTAAACGTGACCAGAAAAAGTGGCCAAACAAGATGATCACACACGAACAATGATCTGAACCAAAATCACCTTTATTAATTTTAAAAAACAATACAAATGGATTCAAGAATTAATACTAAATAATGGATCAAGTGTAAAACATATTAGGGGGGCATTTTGGAGTGAAGAAACATCAAATCGATAACTATTATATAGATAACTATTCAATAGAAAAGTCAAGATAGCAAAAAGTTAGGTTATCAAGAGAGTTAAGTCAATTTATCGATAACTTTTCTATGGATAAGTGAAGTTATTGATAACTTTTCTATAGAAAGTGAAGTTATCGATAACTTCTCTATAGAAAAGTGAATGTCATTGAATGTTATTCTATAGATAAGTCAAGTTATCGATAACTTTTCTGCAGAAAAGTCAAGTTATCGATAAATTCTCTGCAGAAATGTGAAGTTATCGATAACTTTTCTATAGATAAGACAAGTTATCCATAACTTTTCTATAGAATAGTCAAGTTATCGATAACTTTTCTGCAGAAAAGTCAAGTTAGCGATAGCTTTTTTAAGGAAAATACAAGTTATTTATAATATTCTATAGAGAAGTCAAGTTTTCGATAACTTTTATATGTCCAAGTCGAGTTATCGATAACTTTTCTATAGATAAGTTAAGTTATCGATAACTTTTCTATAGATAAGTTAGGTTATCGATATCTTTTCTATAGAAAAGTCGAGTTATCGACAACTTTTCTGTAGAAAAGATAATCCTTAAATAACTTTCAATAGAATGCTCGAGTTATCGATATTTTTTCTAGGGAAAAATCTAACTATCGACAACTTTTCTTTAGAAAAGTCAAATTATCGGTAACTTTTTCTATAGAAAAGTCATGTTATCGGTAACATATCTATGGAAAAGTCAACTAACTTTTCGATAGAAA